TTTCTTAAAATGCCTGTCTCTGATCTTTCTCATAAGCGCTTCAGCCAACGAAGAAAGGGACTTGGTATTCGGCGGTTCCTTTGACACTCTTTCTTAACTCGTGTTTCGCACCACTACATTATTTTCAAGATCACTACATTTCCAATTTAACGACAGCATGACGCGCACGCGCACCAGATTCTCACACAGATGGAACTCGTTTTGCAATTCGTTTAATATTTTTTACCCTCATGAAGTGGCCTTTATGTTAGAAAGCAGTACTTAGCACCAGTAACGGAAGCATTGAAAGTGGAATGATGGTTATGAAAAAAAAATACTGAAAAGAGACGCCGATACACGCGCACAACGGGCTGCCGTCATGTAAGGTGCCCTCGAAGGCGTGATACCCATGTCGAGACCCCCTTTTCATGTCGAAGATAATCTCTTATGGAGGGATCGACTAAACCTACTCATAAAAGGTGCATTCTGACGAAGCTCGCTCCTGTGTGAGCGAGATCAAGAAATCCGTTAGACCTAGAGGAGGATTCTACGATAAGCACGAAGTTCGGGGAAGGAGAAAATTGTCAGTTGGGAAGAGAGGCGGACCTCCTGAGGATGCGGGCTGACACACAAATGGCAGCGAAAGATTTGACCTCGGCGATCTAGCATGGCTCATTCTTGGCGCAGTTGGCGCGGGTACGCCCACCGACTATCTAATCACTCGCCACAGGTCTATACGCAGCGCGTGATCCACCGTGGTATAGTGCAAGAGAGAGAGCATTGGCGTTGAAGAGGGCATAACGATGCAAGTCGCATCAATGCGGATCAGCGGGCAAGGAGGGGTTCCCATTTCTTGGGTTCCAGACCGTTTCTCATGTTTTTCCTCATTCCTCTTGTATCACTCACCATCCTCAACTAATTTGAAATGGGTTACTTTTCATTGTAAATTCTGACTATAAGTATCGTTTTAAGCGTACTCAGTGGAATCGGAGGCTTTCTTATAGTTACGACGTGCACATTTTCACCCGTACAAAATACATAGTGTGGCATAAAATAATCAATGACATTCAAAGTTACAGGTGAAATCGATGTTTTTAAGGTCTTCTCCACGTGTGCAACTGGTCTCTGCAATAGGAATGCTTGTCCCAAAAAGTCTTTGCCCATTTGTGAATTTTTTTTAAATCCATTTTTCTTCCTTAGCCAAGTCAGCAATTTACAATCATATGCCCCATCATAATCGTCAACATATTGCCTTTCAGCAGGTGACTTGTGATGCCGTTTGCCTAGAAATCCTGAGCTTTCAGGGCAAAAAACTGGAGAAGTACATTTTGAGTAGTCCAGATCATGAAGCTCTCCCTCCTTTAGTTGAATCACCAGCAACAGAAGCAGACGTACACTGCTGAGGGCCAGATCTGCTGAACATAATTGGCGAGACAGAACATCCCATAAGGGGCTTGGAGACTTGCTGGACCATCTTCAAAATTCCTTGACGGTCGTTGCTTGGATGAAGTGAACTTTGCAATGTTTTCCAAGCAGTGCCGGTGGAGCCATCAGTTTTCCCATATTATCGTTCAACAATAGCAGTGCAGTTCCGTTGGTAGACTATCAGTGAACGAATCGCTTGCAGCTTTACCAACTTCCCCCCCCCCCCCCCCCAACAGATATTCTCAAAATGTGCAAGTTGCTTGGGATGGAGCGCCGCGAAGCTCTGGTTTAGCCACTGCTGAGCAGCAAGGCGCTTCGGTTGGTGTGCGTGAAGAACCCATCCTTGCTACAAGCAACGGACCCCAGTAGGTCGGGTCGCAGAAGATACAGGCAGGTGAACAAAATGTTCATGCAAAATCTGAAGGCTCCGAAGGCGACAGTGGTCACCCAGATCACGAAATCCCCTTTTGCCATAATTTCTTTTCTTTTTGAGGAGCTATTGAGGAATGGCCATTGTGTTCTGATGACTGTGGAAAAGCTGTGTCAGCTACCGTACATTGCACCACAGACTGTTTCCAAACAGCTCCAGAAGACACTCGTCACTCAGTGTAACTAGCCAACCGACTTTGGGCTTTTTTCTCAAGTTTCTGGGGTGAGCGGTCAACAGAATCGTCCGAGTGGCGTCGCGGCGCGGCACTTTTCCGATGGGCGCGACGTATTCGAATTTGACGATGGCAGCAGTGATTCTTCGTGGTCTACTTCATACAGTTGATTTCCAAGATGATTCTCGTAGAAGCGGCCTCCTGTTTTGTAACTTAAAGAAGGATTTTACGATTAGAATGGAGGTCGAGGAAGAAGTAATTCACCTAGTTGAGTAACCCACGGACCTCCTGAGGGTGCGAACTGATGCGCAATTCGCATCGAAAAATTTGACCTCGGCGACCTATTATGCCTCAAAGTTGGCGGGTCTGGCGATCTCCGCCCACCGACCAGCTGATCACTCGCCGCAGATCTATACGTGGGATTGATTAGATAGCAGAGAGCGTGATGTTGAGGAGGGCACAGCGATAAGAGTCGCATCAATGCGCAAATCAGCGGGGAAGGAAGGGGTCCCATTTCTCGGGTTCTGGGCCGTTTCTCATGGTTCTTCCTTCTTTCGTGTACCACTCACCATCCCTGAGGTTAATTTGAAATGGGGTTGCCTTTCATCGTGAATTCGTCCTTTAATTAGATCTGGTATGCCTCCTAATTAAGATCGCCTCCCTTTACTTAGGTGCGAAATACCTAGTTAGGTATTAAAATGAAGAGGTCGTAATGCTACGCACAAATCTGTGCCCATGTATGGCAGAGTCAATGCGTTTGAGTTATTTATTAGTTACCGTGCTATATAGGTATTAGACACTATTCAAATCGATTTTCATGATAACACTGTTCGCAAAGGGGTTCTAAAAACAAAGAGGGTTGCACACTTGCTTAAAGGAGGATTTCACGATTAGAATGAAGGTCGAGGAAGAAGTAATTCACCTAGTTGAGTAACCCACGGACCTCCTGAGGGTGCGAACTGATGCGCAATTCGCATCGAAAAATTTGACCTCGGCGACCTATTATGCCTCAAAGTTGGCGGGTCTGGCGATCTCCGCCCACCGACCAGCTGATCACTCGCCGCAGATCTATACGTGGGATTGATTAGATAGCGTAGATGTTGAGGAGGGCACAGCGATAAGAGTCGCATCAATGCTCAAATCAACGGGCAAGGAAGGGGTCCCATTTCTCGGGTTCTGGGCCGTTTCTCATGGTTCTTCCTTCTTTCGTGTACCACTCACCATCCCTAGGTTAATTTGAAATGGGTTGCTTTTTCATCGTGAATTCGTCCTTTAAGGTATATAGAATGACACCAAAATTGCCGCGTTACTGTTACTCTGAGAAAAACGTACAAAAGATTTTTTTCCAAGACCGTTTTTGCCACCAGAGGGATATTGGTTTCGAAGGTTTTCCGATCTCTCTATTTGATGATTGTACTGGTGAGCGTTTAACAGTCGCAATCGAAGGACGCTTACGGAAACTCGTCCACCGCCACCGCGACGTCCACTAGCGCGGGTCTTCGGACGAGTCTGTTGCCACGCACCCTTTTTCTGGACATCGGCAACCAAATGTTTGCCATGTCGTGAAAGACACTCTGGAGGTCGAATCTGAGGTCCAAGACGTAGGGCTCTTGCCGCATCGCTTCCACTGATGTGGTATTCTTGGTTTTAGAATCAAGAGTAGCCAAATATGCTTTCAGTCAAAGTCGATTTTCTCAGCCATAATCGCTGCGAAATACCACGGCAGAAATACTCTAAGGAGATCGTTGAACGTAGCAGGTTTATCAGAGTTTCACAATGGTACGGCCAAAAATAATATTCCCGCGAGGATTTTAACATATTACACATGCGAACATGGGCCTAGGACTTTTGCGGACAACTTAGGTAGTACATACGACGCGAAGGCCTCCAAAGAATCGATATCACATGTGCGTTTTTGGGATAATTATATTCTGTTTCACGCTTATGTTGTTCAGTCTGCAAGCTATTGGTATCGGCGACAAAGGGTTCGCTTAATGGATTTTAGTAAATCCTCGCTAATTCAGTTATTACCGTAGTTTGCGGCCATAAGTATGCCAATAAAATGAGGTGCTTTCCTTCAGCAATTTGCTAATGAGTACCCTTTTCATACTAATTGGTATTAAAGTGATATTAAGGAGAGCTCCGACATCTCCTTGTTGTCATATACAACCGCTGTATGAAAATCCTGCCGCTCACTTTGAGCCATATATCTTTCCAACTCATGTACATAAAGGGAGGGGGTCAAGGTACAATTTTGTGAGAACGACCTTCTACATCACTGCCATCAAACAAAAGGTAAACGTCTTTTTTTCACAGATAAACATCTACAAATGACACTGTTAAAACTAGTTACTGATAAATGATGTTACGATGCCCTGTGCGCCCCTAAAGGAAGGTAATTAGCGAAATTACATACAAAAACTAAAATGAACACGTCACCTAAACTTGACAACTGCCCTCTGACATCCCCGGTAAATGGCGACATATTAGCAATAACAATCACTGGCAGCAACCGCTAAGACAAGTACAAATGAGAACTACGAAACATTCTGTTTAGTCATCATTCATGCAGAAAAAATCAATACATCGATTCATGTATTGTAAACGCAAATAATCATCTCACAACATAATAAGAGAAGCAAGAAGAGAAGTAATAGAAAACCCTTAATCGGTCAGTCAGGGTAAGGGGCTAACACAAGGACAATTCTCGAATATCACGCTGATATGGCGGGATGTCAGAGGAATTGCTCTCCCACTCTCTATTACATATAGAATTGATAGTTATCGATCGATAAGGCAATATTTACATCACAGCTCGTCACCTAACCACATCTTATCTACAAATTAATGGGCATCACACAACAGGCCAAAATGGTTTACGAATAATTTGGCCACTTCTCAAAATAAAATTCTGGAGGAGAAAGAAGAAAAAACAATTGAAATCTTGTAAAACGCAGAGTTAAATAAAAACAAAAATGTTAAGGAATCAGAAGATCAAAATATAGTTGGACAACCCGACCAGTCGCCTTGCTCCTTTTTCTCCCAGTACTCGCCGAGATACTTATGAATAAGTGTGCCTGTGATCTCATCTTGAGTTTTCTGGAACCATCTTGGCTGATACTCTTCGTACGATAGACCTGAAATTGAGGAACACATTTCGAACCAGAATGTCCACAAACTGCCGACATGTATAAAAAGGTCGTGAAGTAAGTAAATCCAAAATTGGTGCAGTCGGAAACCTGGTGTTGGTCTTTGTGGTGGGGAGGGGAGGGGGGGGGGGAGGGGGCAGAGAAATGTGCAGCCAGACATCTAATAAATGGGAGAACGACGACTCGTACAACTCTACCTTGACCATTACTCAAAAATTGTTCTGTCGAGGGTCAAAATAACGAAAAAATGCACGAATCCTGCGCGCGGCGAAACGCAAGAGCAAGTGACCGATTGGCCGTGCCTAATAAAGATCGCCTGCAAGATCGCGCCATGGAACTCATCATTCTTCAGCGGGTCCTGTAACGCCTCCTCTCAGAACGTACAGGAACGCTCAATAACCCTCAGTAAGCGTTGCGGTTGACAAGTGCCCTGAGAAGGCAACCAGCTACTGCCCCCAACACGAAAACTCGGCTAGTTCGCCTTCCCGCCGAAAATCTGGACTTACTCTACCTCAAACAAGAAAATCCAATAAATGTTCTTAATGCAATTCCAAGTCCAAATAGGACTCCTCCAAAAACCCAAATTACACGTCCCTTGGAGTCCTCAAGTCGTTTACACCGGGTTTGCCGATTTATAAAGCCCGGAAGAGATATACCGTACCCAGCTGAAAGAACAGAATTTATCGAATGGTGCACTGTCCACGCCTGGAAATTCTACTGAAGGTATTTCGATAACCAAAAAGGATAGGTATGAAACTGAACATTCCTGCACAACAAACACATAGGTGAAGTGAAGGGGAAAGTAAGAAAGCGGGGAGGAATCAACGAAAAATTGTGATAGAAAACAGAAGGACGTGACGACACTGCTGGATAGGATCAGGTTAAAAGTATACCATTCGATACCACACCTTGCTGCATGGCTTTCTCCATCTCTGCTTCACGTCTTCTTCGCACAGCTCGTTGTTTTTCTTCGAGCTCAAGCTTCTTACTATTGGCTTCGTCCCATCTGAAAATATTACGAAGTTACTTAAACAGCGAGAGCACTGTTTTTGAATCAGACGCCTCACAACCGTAAAAAAAGACTCGTATAGAATAATTAAAAAATGAGCAGCTCCACGTACTTGCCCTCTTCCATAAGCCGTTGATCTGGTCGTAACCGGCTGTCCGTAGGTGCAACGCCCGGTTCTGGTTCATTGAGCTCAATCGCCAGACGAGTGAAGTTATGCATTCGCTCAGCGCCGGTCGGCTAAATTAATCATATGTAATTATCTCTCTAGACATGGCTCTAGCAAAATTACGCTTATTTAATTTATTTATTTATTTATTTCTATACGTCCAGTGGACGCGCTTGGACAGAGCATATTCGAATAGAAATACTATCAGACGCTAAAAAGGCAGCAGTCGTCCTCAGTTGAGTCACAATAATTGATGGGTCAACGTCCGACTTAACCAACTTGTAAAGGAAAAAAGAGAGAGAGAGGGGGCAATTCAAAAGATTCTATTGAGTTGAAAAATTACAAAATATGAGGTATTGATCGTTTTTAAGAATAGATCCGCGATTGCGACAGGTTCGGTTCAGGGAATAAGGTGATGTCGGTTCATCATTAATTTTACGGGCATTTTTTTTTTCTCAAATTTCAGCCAATAACAGTATCTAGCATTTCCGGCGGAAACCATCTTTCATTTTCTATAGAATAAGAAGCAATGGCAGACCGATTCGAAACTTACGGCGGTGGATTGACTGTCCAAATACGTTTCGGCTCGGAATCGGTCTCCAGGCGCGCCTTGTCGCCATTTCCTATTTGCCTTGTGACTCTCAGCATATCTACATGGGAATCCCATGCTGTTGTTTTTTTTTTTTCCTTCGAACCTACGGCAGGACGAGGGCTCGCCATGTGAGTCTCGTACCACGCCATAGACCTGAACACTAGCATGCAACACCAAAAAGTCTTCAGAAAAAGCTGGATCAAAACCAAAAAGATTGGAAAAATCAAAGAAGAACATTAGAAGAATGTAGTTATGCATAGTAAAAACAGAAGTTGGTTTGAGAGGATGCTTCAAAGAACTCGGTTTAGAATAGAAATGCTCACCTACTTGCAATCATACACAACTTCAAAGGTACGCGTTCGCGAATCGCGTCGTAAGACAGCTCTGTTGGTGAAGACAGCAGGCCCTCCGATTCACAAGGGGCTGTACTCACAGAAATTGAGTCGTAATTGTCCGCTGCACTTTGAAATTTGACGCGACAGGGAAGCGAATGCAGTCGCTTCGACCGCTGCGACCACTGCCAATTCTTATATTCATCGCAGGCATGCACCGAAGTCAGGCCTCCTCGCGTTACGCACAGGTGCTCTTCTTTGCGCTCCCAACCATGTTGTCTTCGTCGTTACCATTTGGTACGACCTCACAGACGCATTTTCAGAATTTTTCATGGTGCTTTTAGCTTGTTTCCCCACTAACGTATTCTTCGCAAATCTGATCTAATTTTCAAACAACAACAGACCAATCCGATCGCGACCTCTTAAATGAAAACGTTCCAGCAACGGCTTTATTCCGCCAACCCCAACCCTTCTGACAAGCCTAAGGCTTCAACGAAATCACAAAGCTTCGTCTAGGAAATGGGCGAGAAGCATATTCTTCTTCAACCGTTTCTTGTTTACATGTCATTTCTCTTTTCTGCGCCAGATTATGCATTGGCAGGTCATTGACGTATAGCTTCCAGGGGAGGTAATGATTCTATTGAATAACCAAGGATACCATCTGTATCTGCTAGCAAGTACTCTTTTCCAAAATATCATACTCTTGTGTACCATAGAGGACAAAAAGCGGTCTGCGTTGCACAATGCCTGCAGGAGCACGCACTTCCATTAGGAAGGGTTAAGGCATTTGAGTGAGCTTCTAGCATTTCCTCTGTGCACGGAGTACCGCATGTTCTCAATTACATACCATTCAGCTTGTAGCCTTGCAGTAATTCCTGAGTAAGGTCTCACTCCACTCTAATCCAGGTCAAGCAACATAACACCAGGCACCAGGCGGTATTCCGAGCATGCCTACCGGGACAAACATGAACGAGAGCAAGCGAGAAATTAATGCTGCAGTGCGGCAGATGGATAGGGCGTATTGAGAACGCGATTGCTGAAAGCTAGCAGTATTTGAGCAGAAATTTAAGGCAACGTCTCGAAGAACTGGCAATTAAAAATCAAATCGGCCATCAATTGCGCGGTGCAGTTGATTGCTTGCACTTAAAACCCATGGTGTAACTGCGAAGAAGACTATTAATATTGAATTGAGAACAAAACCAACGAACACGGTGAGAAAGAAAGTTTCCCTTTTTAGGTGAAGAAGGCAGGGCTGAGAGTAATACACTTACATTGTGGAAAGAGCACAAACCGGGAGGAGAGAAAAGCTCACCAACGGTGGGACCGTATTCTATCCTTGCCCCAGGGAACGCGTACCCCCGCCGCTGATCCTTTTTCTATGTTTGGGAAAGACAGGGTTGCGTCATAGGACCAGCCACAGTCTGCGTTCCTAGACTCAGACAGCGCGTACCTCAGAGAAAAGAGTGCCAAGTCAGGGTGGCTACAACATCACGCGTTCAATGGCGGGTTCTATGACGCAACCCTGTCCACCCCGAGCTTAGGATAGAATCAGCGACGGGGGACGGCCCCCCCCCCTTAAGGGAAGGATAGGATACGGCCCCTGAATGTCTTCATTACGTAACCGACAATGCAGACGCGTCCGCGCCGCCGAAGAGTAGTCTTACAGACCAGGGAGCTACTGGCCTAGGAAACGCAGACACGTGTTTGGGCGTAGTATAGCCGCGACCAGGTGAACAAGGCACCAGTGTCCTTGTCGCGACAGTGGCAGTACCTCAGCGATTGCTACCAACTACCCAATTCACGATTTAGTATGTTTTCGAGATTACTCCAACATATCAGGAGAAATTAAGGGAATCAAAAAAAGAATTTGGAGCTAGCGGACTCTAGCATACTCAAGGTGAAACGTATGAGATGTGCATAAAACTAACCTTTCTAGGAGCTTCTCTACTAAAATACGAATACGGGAAGAATTTCACAACACATTTGTCGCCAAGTACCCCTGATTGCATGATCTCCATGTCTCCCATGATTTATCGATCACAGTTTTGCCAACAATTGATATGTATAAGAAGGGTCGCGTTATCTATAAATGATGGATCATTTGAGCGAAGAAGATCAGGTTTGGAATGAAGTATAATACTTACCTTTTTATATGAATAATGATTCTTAGTACCCGGAAAATAGACATGCGTGTAGCCGACCGGTATCACAGAGATAGGTACTTGCCACGGAAACCGGCTCGTCATCGTGAAATCCTGATACATCACCCAGCCATTGCCTTCGGCATAATGTGCTGCTGCAGGAGGATGATGGGAGACCTTAATGGATACTAATGGCCATCATATGGACAGTCTGACAATAGGTTTAACAAAAACATAAATTCTATTAATGTATGCTATACGAAGGACTGCTCGAAGTTATACGGTGATGTCCGGGAATCAATCCTGGGTCGTGAGTCGCCCGGGCCAACCAAGCCTTCCATCCCTCCGGGGTCGGTTAATTGGTACCAGACTTGTCTGGGAGGATAAAAACACTGACTTGACATCGGCTGGCCCCCGCAAGTCATTGTATAGGCCACATCGCATTCAAATGCCACTGCGAATGTACAAATGGAAGTAGAATGCGTGCCGCATCCCAAAAAGGGATTGATCAACGGCAAATGCTTTATCCTTTATCCTTTTATTATCAGGCTGTTAGGAGGAGATAGTTCACTCAATAACTTCATCGCTGGCTAATTCAGTGCGAGTCTGCGATTATTCCATGGAAAAAAAACGCGTTTCAAATTAATTGAGTAAAAAGTTGAATTTACGTTCGCCCAGACTCCACCATTCTCGCCGGCCGCTCTTGGACTTGCTCCAACGAAAACAAGAAGAGCACTTTTTATACATAGTAGGGGTTTCGTTAGCAACTTGTAGAGAATTTGTTTATGATTTTCCCATCTTGTCAGCGCAGAAATAAACCGATGGCTAGCTCCAGATCAGGTTCCTTCCTTTCGGGCACTCCTCGAACCAGTATGGCAACTCTTACCCTAATGGTAGTGACATGCAAAAAAATTGATATCAAACAGCATTTTCTGGGAACGACCGAGTTTCCGCGAAACTAACACGCTTAAATGGAACGAACACCTATCCTAAGTGCGCTGAGCACTTCTCAAGTGGCCCCTTTGATGGGAGCACTTATAGCGTAAGCACCGGATTTCCTCTTCCAGAAATATTCTCTGGATCTCAGCCCTTTGTGAAGCAAAACATGTTCATTTTCACTGAGCCTTTTCTGCCAAACAACAGAATGGCAGTGCCCTATTTTATTGAATCAGTAAAAACCGGAAGACCTGGCTTTGAATCACTAACTATTCCAAACAAGTTCCAATTTGAAACGTCACATAACGCTCGGCGAAATGATCAAGACTTTAGGCCATTCTCGAGGTTTGATTAGGCGTGCCTATGCCCGTCGCCGCACTTGATAGAAGTCGCGTGGAGCTGTAAGCTGTTTCTAACCTAATTCGCCAGATATTAGCAAGGCGGGAAGCAGCTTATCCGCGCAACTTTTACAAAGTGCGATGGCCGCCCGTCAAATCCATAGACACGCCTACTCAGACTTCGAGATATGGACTGGATAAAGCCTCTTTGTAAATTTGAAAACGCTTTAGACTAAATCTCTAGGTCTTCTTTGATTAAAACTCGCTGCTTCTTTTTTCTGCTTTTTTTAATTCCCGAGAATTCTTCCTTGCATTTATATTATTTCCCTTGAACTGGCATGCTGTTGAATAACTATTAAATAAGTATATGAAATAATAGAGAGCTCAGAGTAAAGAGAAATGTGAGCCATCCCACATTCGAGATTCCTTTGACTTCCACGAATTCGACCACACGAACCAGTCTCAAGTTATTAGCTATCGGATCCATTAGAATACCCAATTTACAGTACCTTGATATGAATCTTCCAGTACCGGTTTCAAGACAAACCCATGATCACAGAACAAAAGTGGAATAGAATACAAGAGCGATTTGCAAGTGCAGTTGACGCGTTGTCAATCGCGCTCGAGAATCGCGGGCACAAATCGCCACTTGCGAACCGCGCGTGGAATAGCAGAGTATGAAGCTTGCCTAAGGTGCGCGATTGTTGAGGAACTTTCGCATCGCCAAAGACTCAACATTCATGGCCAATTCACGAAATGCGCAATACAACAAGCGAAAGCTAACGCTTAAGTACGCATATTACTCTCTTCTTACTGTCTACTGATCCCGTTTATTCGCTTTGAACTAATTTAATCTAACCAATTAAGTCAATCTCTTTGTTTTCAAAAAAAAAAAAAAAAAAATTGCCTTGAATTCAGCCTAATTCAATTTGACATATAATATGACTTTTTTTTTGTGGCTACTATGTCGGAAAAAACGATACGAATAGACGGCGAATGAGAAAACTGGAAAATACTGACCACTGAGAAGTATAGAATTCCTACCTGTTCCGTAATACTACGCCATCCTAGATCAGTAGTACGATCACATTCATACGTCTCTCCTAACAACGGATTGAACGGCTTATTCGTACGATTTCCTGTCGTCGAGTAGTTGCTGACACCGTACGCGGCCACGTAGGCCATTTGTTCGAACGGTTCCTGAAAATTGTGCCGTTCGTCGTACGAAAATGATAGCTACGTGAATAAACAAAGAAAAACAATCAAGCGACGACTGATTTTGTCCACCGGAGCGATACGCATGAACGCCGTTTAGGATTGCGCTTCAACGAGGGTCTATCCATGTGAGGAAGGAATCGTAATGGAGTGAGAGTAGATAAGTGTATAGGCAATTCTTCGAAGAGGTGTGAGACAGGAAGAATTACAAGATAATCAAGTAAAATCGCAATTTTCGACTTTTCACCTGTTATATGCCCCTCTTGCTCGACGGACTCCTTAGGAAAAAATGTTCCAGGGAGATTTAATTCCTAACTGTATACGCGTTACGGGACGGCCCGCCAAAAAACGGCCTTAAAGCAACAATCGCAAGACAGGGTCGTGTGGAGCAACCTATCTTTGTGAGTGGGATAAGCTCACGAGTTATCACAGATGTGCCGTGTCGCAGCTCGAAAGTGCGCGACAATGGCGCTAGGACCTTACAAAATGAGCTAAAGACTGCCAATATGAACTAATGGTCGGGTATTGACTCGGGGACACCCCGTAATGCGCGCAACGTGGATTACAGGCAGCGGTTAATTCGAATACGTGCGGGTTAGTGGAGCCGTGGATAGAGCAAATTTAGGGAACTCGCCCGGACCCGTTCTCTCCTCATTTCCAAAGAGAAGAGAGGGAATCCTTGAGAGTTCAATCAGAGATTTGCTTTGCTTCTTTTTTTAGTTTCCGTCAGTTCGGCATCCACAAGTTCATTATCGTCGCCGCTACCCCACCAATTTGTTCTGGGATTGTAGCTTTGAACATGAGAAAAGAGGTGGTTATGATCACAAAATTTACCCAGTGGTCAACCCAGCTCCAGAACACTTCCCTCACTGACTGGTACACCTGCTATGTACGACTTATGAGTCTGTTTTGCCACATCTGAGGAAGACTGGCACGCACGCGCAAAAACCTGTGGGCCGAGCTCCACCAATTTTCTAGAATCGCGATAAATATGAATAACTGACAATGAGAACTGTGCAGAAGAATGAGGTTCAGCCCTTCAAAAACCTTAGCGAATCTGGTCTCAAGAGGCCCATCCTATTGCGTGAAAAAATTTAAACCGCGCTGATCCGCCACAGCGATCGGGTTCATAGTTTGGCACCTTCCTTGAGTCACTGTGCAGCGCAATGTCGTGAAATAGTAGAGGTTCAGGTGTGCGATACAATTACGAACAGCTCTACCAATGTCCTTATGAACGTGCAGATACCCAAGTCGATAGGAGTGCAACAGAGAAACTTACTAGAGTGGAAGCCGTTTCCAATAACGACGCGTACTCCAGATCTTCAGTGATTCTTTGTAGAACTGACAATGGTTCACTGAAGTTCACCTAAACGTATAAAATCATCAAGATGACACAACAAATTACATTGGGAATAATACTCAAACAACAAGTTGAATTTAAAGGATGAGGCAATAAACAAAACCGATTCAAATTAAGTTCCTGGGAAGGGTTTGGCTCAATTAGGTTACCCTTGCAACAGCCTATCAAAAGACTAAATACCCTTACACTGGGCCAAATGGAGAAAGAATAGATCTACGACTAAGTCACCCTTAGGGGTATTCAAATATGCATCAACCCTCTCCCTCTCTTTCTCGTTGTTTAACTAAATAAACTGGATGAGCTCAAGCCTGATCGATGAACGCGATATAGAAAGCACTAAAACCGGCATAGGAATCTTGGACAGCTTCCTTTCCTATACAGTTCTTCATTATGGACCAGACCAGAGATTAATAGGTAGATCGGGACGATCAGGAATTGTCGATCGTCGTTCACGTCCGCCACGAGTGTGAGGCGGTGCGATCGGTTTGGCACGAGCGGGCTTGAACGACGGCGGCGTTAGCGCCATAGTTGATGTGGTCCTCGGTGGCGCGTCATTCAGTGTTGACAGCGATTCCGAGTCCGAATTTCGTTCTGAGCCATGTCTTCTGAAATCCACACATCATTTTCAGCCAAGACCATTCATACTAAATACTATATGTGACCTAATAACCTTTTTACTGCTGTCTTCAAAGGACTATACATTGTTTGAGATGGTGAAATTATATTCAACACCACCACACGTCTCACGTCATTATTAGAAACGTCGATGTCATGAAGTACACCATGAAATTTGAACCAGTGAACCTCAAATCGCATCACCAATTAATAAAGAAACATGAACGTTGACGATTTTGGCACGATTCAGACGAGAACAATAACTTCGATCGCACATCTCTCAAACAGGGTTAACCATGCCAATCAAAAGTTCATCTACTATCAGTCCATTGAAAATTTATGACTTTGTTTAATCAATCGCAATTGTTAAAAAAAAGTATTGGAAGGTATGTATGTTTGTGGGTATAAAAAATCACTGAAGTGAGAAAACTAGTTCTTAAAGGCAAAAACACGATGGCTATAGAGCGGAGCGATTTTGGTTACGTCACTGAGCGTGTTGGTGGAAGAGCGTTAAGAGGTGGTCCCAGAAACGCCCCCAGCGCGCTGAGACGTCCAGACCACCAATGACGTCTAATGACGTCTTCAAAACTATTATACTCTCTACCCATCGTGTTCACTACTTTAAGAAACAAAGAAATTCGAGGGGATTTTTTTCACCCCCCTCGCGGGAAGATAGCGTGCGGCCTAACGTTGCCTGGAACCAGACAATACGCTTTGGGCCAACAATACCCCTAAAATATTACTCAGGCTATAATTACCACAACTGCCATTGAATTGTGGTACTGGTGGAAAATAGAAACAGAAATCGGTTACACAAAACCCAACAAATCTCTTAATGGCGTCAAGTGGAACAGCGAAACATATTCCACTACGTTCATTGAACAAAGAAGCTGTCCTTATATGATTCATCCTATTGTGAAAAGCATCAGCATTAACCTCCCTTTCAAAAAGCGAGAAAGTGTCGGGTGCAGACCAAACACCACAATGTGGCCGACCGGCCTCCGAAGCAAATCTGGTTAGAAGTTCTTCATAGTGATAGCTGATTTCCGGTAAATGATAGCTTACATGACTACGATCAGCTAGAACACTGTATACAGGCTAATCATTTCATCTGCGCCAGTAAGCATTTATATTATTTAGGAAAGGTCGTCGGTCACTTTAAAGTGGCACTGGTCTGCCACCCGAACAGCCCTGTTCGCCTTTTGAAGGGGAGGTTAACTATCTTGGCCCCTTGACTGCATTTTTTTCAAATTCTTCCCAAAATAGACAAACCCCACACAAAAATGACGATATTTCTTTCATCGCTGCCCTCACATGGGTTCCAAACATGGCCGAATATGGTATAATATCACAACCGAACAACGTTTCCACATGTCAGAAAAGGATAAATGAAGATACGAAACGGCACTACCTGCAGCGTAAGTATTTGTAGTGCGGCCCGTTGTGATCGTTTGGGAGGCGGCAGTGAGAGGGGAATTCTACGAGTCTTGATTTAGCCAAACGCGAGAACGATATGATCGCGAACGTGAATTAGTCCCCCCTCCTAGATACTTAGGAAACCTATCTGCTCACAGTCTCCTCTACCTAGTACATTTAGAACCATACTAAAGAGACAACTGCACACAAGTTGGTCGACTGTTTGCGATACTTCATATTCGAACTCTCGCGAAATTCAGAAAGAAATTGTAATGGCCCATGACACTCTATCACTAGGGAACACCAGAAACCAAACCCAGATCTGCGGGTAAAGCGCTGAAGCTCCCCTGAGCATGCAACCAATTAGTGAGCCAGATTTTTCATGAAGATAATGTATTGGCCTAGGTCTGAGAGCGTCAAGTGGGCTGCACTTTCTCGACGAAATTAATTCCAGCTACAAAACACAAACCAATATGAAAAAAACATGGTACTATGGCAACTACAAAACCCTACGAGAAGGAGTAATAAGGAGCATTCGCAGCGCAAAAGTGCACTTAGAAATCTTTCACAAAGGTCATCTCCAGTACATCACGACGAGATCTTCCGAGAATGAAGAATGAATAATTCATGGCTTGGGGCAGGCTGCAAACATGGACGACAATGGGTTAGGGAAAAGTTTCCATGTAAACGTCAATAAAGGCTTTTTTCACAGGAGTGAAAAATTTACCTTTCACAACTCCGATAGCCCATATTGTGCATCACGAAGCCCCTTTTACTGAAGATGAATTCAGTTCTGAATTAAGCTACATCTCGAAAATGGCGCGTGTTCACCTAAGATTTCAGACCTAACCATTAAAGGAATCTTGCGCGGAAAATTCTTGCACTCTTTCCTAACATGAATATGTCAGTTGTGATCACTGGAAATAGCACACAAAGTTTCACGCATGAAGATTCGGTTTCTGAAGAGAAACAAACGTACAAAAACTACACGTTATGGACCATCGAAGGACCAGGAGGCAGAGCCAGGCGAGGCATGGAAAGAAGACGGCGTTTGGCCGGCTACGTACCAGGCGACGCAATGAGAGAATCGGGTTAAAGCGCGCGATTTCGGAGAGTGGAGACAAATCGATCGATGGAATAGGATGGAGTAGAAGTGTAAGATGTGAATGCAACGAAGCAGAAGGCCAGAAAGAGCTTCTAGTGAATGCACTCCAAGAACCAAGTTTGAGCATCCCCGTCGCCAGCATTCGTGAAAGACGTCCGTGGGCAATTTCGAACGCGTAGCAGCCTTTTCGAGTTTTCGAATTTCTAATCAAAACGAAAGCAATACTTCAGTTCTTTTCACTATTATCGTGGATAATGAGTCTCAAGCCAGTGATTTATGGCTGAAATAGAATCATGATTTTTCCGCGCAAGATTCCTTTAAGATGCGCTATGTATCTCATTTCTGTAGCAGAATCTCGGAGGTTCCCAAAATCGTATATGATCTATGATCTAGGTTTATTCCAGTAGGTCAAGCGCTCCAAAAACATCAGTTCCATCAGCGAGCCAGAACAGTACTATTACCAACCACATCGAGAGATTAGCGAGTTCTATTTTAACAACAAACGAAAGGAGACAATGCGCAGACTCCATTCAGAATCAGAAAAACTCCATTCAGGACCAGAAAAAAGGGGTACTTGAAATAAGGCACTTTTATAAGGCAGTGATATGGTAACTTTAATGAATATGAGTATTTGTGAAACAGTTTCGAAGGCAATTTTAAAGGGAATTGGCTTCCCATAAACTCGCCATAAAAGGACTCATTCGAAAATTATCTGAGAGTACATTCGAGCAAGTTTGAGAAAAACCACATGCACTTGATAAGTAAAAAATTTATGAAGGCATAAAATAACGAATAGGCTTTCAAAGCTGATTTATCCTTTGTGGGGTGCGCCACGCATTCGCCTCCCACTCAGACTAAAAGAGACATCTGATTACGTATAACTTAGACCATGACTTGCGTGGGTTAGCCGATGTACATCTCAGTGCTTTTTATCCTCCCAGACAAGTCTGGTACCAATTAACCGACCCCGGAGGGATGGAAGGCTTGGTTGGCCCGGGCGACTCGATCCGAGGATTTGATCCTCCGGACCGCTCGCGTGGTAGTGACGCCACTTGCCACTATACCATCTCCGCCCGGTGATATATAAGCACAAGGAGAATAATTTTTTCAAAGCAAATGGAGCATTAATGAAGCAGAATTCTACGCAAGCTTTGGCGATACTTCCTTCTGAACTACATTCATCTCCTCTGTATAGAACTTCACTGGCACGAAAGCACCGGTGTCGAAATCCAGTCCATGAATGGATAATCCGCTCCCACAGAAACCAATGCTATGAGTCGGTTCAGACAGAATCCTTCGCTCACCCCTCTTTTTATTTCAAAACGAAGCTGCCCCGTACCTCGGACAAACTGAACTCAATTATGGAATTGGCTCCACAGGCAATCAATACCACAATGAGTCATAACCAGTCATGTGAAGAACCAAACTGCACACATTCGATGAAGAAAAAGTACAGCCTTTAGGTTGTTCTTCAGGAAAAGGTAAAGGAAACGACAGGATATGCGAAACAGAACTCCTCAAAAAGGGGAGTACAGGAGATGTGATAAGCAATCCCCTTGGCAACAGTTCACCTTCGTGAGGCTGCCACCAAGCTAACAACATTAAACATCGAACGAACACTGATCGATTCCGCGCCACACTGACTGGTTTCCAACGCAATAATGAGCACCAATCCATGATCATAACCTTGATACTCGTCAACGAAATCGAACGAAAGAACAAAGGATAAAAACTCGACGTTTAGGAAGCTGTTTCCGGACTGCGCCATGCAATTCAGAGCAGCAGTCCTTTTGAATGTGTAATGAACCTTTACATGGATTTGCACAAGGAGTAGACACAAACCAGAGTTTCTATATTTCCAGACGACATAGCCTACCTTTTAGTAATGGGAACTTGGTGAGTTTGGGATAAATTCGATTTCAAAGCGGCGACGTTTACCGCCCGCCCACCTTCGCCCACGACCACACAGGGAGACAAAAAACGGATTTAAAAAGAACGCAGCGCGGACGTCCCCTACATAGCCACAAATCAATACGAGGCTGATAAAAAACATAAGGAGAAAATAATCCGTCTGGGAACGGAAAGCCAACGCGATCATTGTCGGCCATGATTCACCTGTAAGGTGCGCCATGAACTCGACATTCATTCACAATTCATGGAACATTTCGAATTCTAGTTGCTGAAGATATAAGACGACTGTTATCATATTATGA